GAGGGGAGGGGGAGGGGAGCAGCCGCGCCTCCTCCAGGGTCCACCCCTCGGCGGGTTCCACCCCAGCACAAGTCAGGGCGGGTGGACTTGCTTCTGTTTGCCTTGATTCACACACAGTTCCTGCCTCGGTTGAGTAAAGATCAACAGCCCTGCGTTCGCCTTTCAGGGACTGCTCTGCCGCTGCGGGGGCAAAACTGCCAGCGCGGAAGCGTGGGCGGCAGGCGCGCAGCTCTGAGGACCCGGGAGCAGCGGTGCGGCCAGGCGGTGACCGCGAACCCCGGACGGAAGGCGAGGAAAGGAGCGCGCTGTCTCTGCGCCTTCCTATGTTCTTGTTAGTGAGGGCTCTCCACATTAAATGTGTACAAGGACATAGTCGTCCACATGCTGTCGGGTTCTAGGCATGCTTGAGTAATTCCAAACAGGCTTTTTATAGCCCAAAGGGACAAATAAACAGAAAGGATAGGAAAACAAGCTCCTGAGATAATCGGTCCTTCAGGAACCAAAGGAATGAGAGTAAATGACTTCCTTAAAGAAGTGTCTTCAGCTGTGTTCTGGAAGCATCATTCCTATCTGACCTTTCAAAGACCTTTGTTTGTATAGTAATAGTACTTCATACTTTTAAGGGTTCTCCCCCCCCCACGATTTTGTGAGGTGTAGCAGCAATGTAGTATTTGTTGTAGACAGGAGGAGGCGCTTCATTCATCATTATTATTATTCTCAGCAGATAAATTAATATTCCAACCAGACGGGATGAACGCACTCCTCTCTTGTCATCATCGTATTTCAAGGGATGCCGTAGTATATTGAAACAGGATTTCACTGTGTAGCCCAGGCTGGCCTAGAACTCACAGCAATCCTCCTGACTCAGCCTCGCGAGCGCTGGGACTACAGGTGTGCACAAGCACCCCGAGCAATAGAGTGAATTTCTGAGTGGAACACTCTCCTTTTTCCCCTGTAAGATTTTATTTAGACAAAATTTAAACTTACAGAAATGTTAAAAAATAGCTTAATGGGTATCTGCGTATTATTCACGTACGCTTTTCTGTTGATAACATTTTGAGACTTTACCTCGCACTTTCTGCTTTTTATGTGTTTGCTACATCATATAAAGTGATGTGCTGATAACATAACACTTGACTACTAAACACTTGTATTTTGAATGCATCTTTTAGGACGTATCTTTTAAAGAACAAGACCATTTTTCTCGACATACTGTTATTAAGCCTTCAAATTAAATATTAATATCCTAATATTATTTAATATGCAGTCTGTTTTCTTTTTTTGTAAGAAATACTGTTTTACCAACATTGTTGAAGATAATATGGTGTAAGTAAAAACAGACATCAGAGGCTCTGAGTATAAAAAAGATTCAGAATACGATTTTAGGAATCACTGAGCAGGTTTATTTCCATTACACTTTCTTTTCACATGTGCACAAGATTTGATGTATATAAATGAGTACAAAAGAGTCTGAATGGTTAAAGTTGAAGTGATAAGAAAGCACTTTGTTCTAGCATAATTGGCAAAATTTTTTTCTTTGTGTTATGTAAAATTGTAGCGCATCTTGCTTAGGGTGAAATAATTCAACCAGTTGGGGCTTCAGAGCTAAGAAGAAAACATGGTGATGTGTGAACTTAGTTGAGTGCCCTGAAGTGTGTCTGTGCCGGAGTGGGCCTGTTTGCTTGGCTGCTTTCCTCTCCCAGATCCACTGGGCTAGGCACACTCCGACTCTCACTCTCTTGCACTGTGTATGGAACCCAGTGCAGCCTCTACAGCCTCCTCTTGTAGAGAGAACACCGTCTCAAAATGTGCCACTTTGGCACAAAGATTAGTTTGCGCTCAAGGCAGTGAGAAGAAACAGATGTGGAAAAGCTCTCATCCCTCCTTTTATTTGCCTAAAAGAGGGAGATAAAGTTACAAAGGCCAAAACGTCCCCTTTCTTTTGTACCAGGAGAAACAAAGGCTGAACAGTGAAGACAACTCCAGACTCTTACCAGCCTGGAGATGCTACCAGAGGAATCGCACGCCAAACTCCGTCTATTTGCCTTCATGAATTTGCTGTCCCTGGAGACTCAACGCCCTTCTCCTTTGCCTTGGCGTTTCTCTATAAGTTTACTTCTTTGTGAAAGATGCTGTGTAAATGGACAGTTCTAAGTTGCTCTTTGAGAATTACTCATTTCCTGGGCTCTTTTGAGCAAGCATATGTAAAGTTTGTATCTCAATAAAATTTTATTTTTCTCTTGTTAACCGTTCTTTTGTTGTAGGAATCTAACCCAGCTAAGAACTCAGAAGGATAGAAAATTATTTTTTCTCCCCTACACTGTGGTCACATACTTTCTTCAAACTCGGTTACAATATAAGTTCTGCTTTCCCTCAGAGTGAGCAGCTCCACTGAGATATTTCAGCTTTCTGTGCTGGCTGGCCAAGGCTATTTTGGGTTTTTCCTTTCTCATCTGCTGTTGCAGGGCAGTCTGATTCTGCTTTCAGGAGTCACCTTCAGTGCATCTTCTAAGTGAGAGACGTGGCCTGGGCCTGCAAGTGCACCTCTGCCATTTTGTCCTGGATCCTGCTCCGTGTGCAGTGAGTGCTGTGGAGATTTGCTGATCCCTGCCCAGTTTGTCCTGAAGAACAGCCCCAGGGAAGCTTTGAGATGTAGCATTTGGCCTTCTTTTCAAGGAGAATTTCAGAATAGGTAGTGTTTGCCTTTGACAGATTCTCATGTCTCCCTTTCTCTGTCTCGTCCTTTCTCTAGAAATTCCAAAATCTCTTTCATTTTTTTTTCTTCCCATCAAATGTCAAACTTTCCACCCCTACCAAAAGTCTTCTGACTGGTTAACCCCTGCACAGGTGTGAATGGCTCTCTTTTGTTTGTGGTTTGTGGCATAATTCATAGAGAAAGAGGAGAAAAAAGTGTGCATGTGTGAGTGTGCATGTGTGTATGTTTTAATACTAAGAAACTTTGGAAACCTTGCAGAGAGAATGGAAATACTTTGATCAATAAATCTAGGAAGGCCATCTCAGCAATGACTTAAAAAAACTACCATGTGAGTATAAGTGCTTGCTTTTCTTGGGCAAAGTAACATTAAATAAAGTCATTTAATTAAAAACCTTTTCACCAATGGTTTTGTGTTCTAGTGAATTTTCTTCTGTCTCCCTCTTTTTGGTAGTAGATCTGAAAAGGCATGGGTACATGGCCAGGAAATTAAAGAACCCCATTTCCATGGAGCCTTGACCAAGTTGAGCTAATGAGACCCTCCTGTGGGAATCAGTCCTGTTCCCATGATGGTGGGAGACAGAGGCCCTCTTTTCAGGGGGCTGGTGATTTGGATTATAAAAGTTTGGAGATGCTGGGAAGAAAGGAGGAAGAGAAAGAGGGAGAGAGGGGGAGGGAGAGAGGAAGAGGAAGAGAGACAGAGACAGAGAGAAACTTTCAGCCGAATAAAGCCAAGAATGGAGGGGGAGAAAGAGACATACATGATGAGAAACAGAAGGAGCCCACGAAGGCTGGTTTCTACAGAAGCTCTCCTTTGATACAGAGGTAGGGGCCAGCTCCCTCCCACCTTTTTTTTAAAACCTAATTTGAGTTGGGTTTCTGCCACTTGCAACCAAAAGCATCCCGACCAATGCAGCCACTGTACCCATTCACGGCGTTATGCAATGGCCCCAAGTAAAGTGTCAAGTACACTTGGCTGTACTTTTTGTTTGGTTACACACTGTATTTTTCTCTGTTTCTAAAGGTTTTTGCTTACAAAGTATGCTTGATTTTGGACAACTGACAAGATGAAAGGGAGCTCTATTTCTAACCAGTATTCTGTCCATTTTACCACTGCCATGGTTGGTGACCTCACTGACACATACAGTTCACACACACACACACACACACACAGAGTATAGATCAAAGATTTCAAACTCAAGTAATTACAGGGTGAAGCAGGTAATGCCAAATGAATTAAGAGATGCAGGGATTATGGTAATATGATCAGTCATGGGCTGAGACAAGCTGAAGGGAACATGTTCTGTCTAAAGGCAGCCAAGTTCAAATTCAAACAACAGCAGTGCGGTGTGGGTCAGAGCAAACACATCTGGTATCTACCCCACAGGCAGTTATTTTGCTGTTCCCAGCCTGGAGTGCACCCCCTGGCCTCACTGGCCAGCCTTGAGCATTTTGGTTGTGAGCATTCCAGCTTAAAACAAGTGGTTTCTTTTCTTTCTTTTTTGGGGGGGAGGAGGTGTGGTTTGAAACAGGGTCTCACTATGTGGTTCAGGTTGACCTTGAACTTACTAAGTGGCCTAGGCTGGCCTCGAATTTGTGATCCTCCTTCCTCAGCTTCCCAAGTGCTGGGATTACAAGGGTATGCCAATAGACAATTTCTTGAACAAGATCCAAAGCATAAGTGGCGTGCATGGGAATAGGAGCTGGCCACGGGTAGCTAGGAGCTATTTCAGATTGTACTCTTGATACTGAACTGCAGAGTTCTGCAAGATGATGAGCAGCTGGCCAGTGAACTCGACGTCTATTCCTTGTCAACAGATAGGTGTTGAAGATGGATCATGTCCAAATGTGGACACCCAGGCTTGCCTCTTTAACAAAGGCAGGGGCCACGGTGGAGGTGGGCCAGGCTGGATCTTCTCATTTTCTGATCTGAGGTTCCTGTTACAGAAGTAATACAGTGGAGTTAAGAATAGAAACTCAAGTCTGTTGGGACTTGAATAGGGTGTGTGTATGTGTGAATGCGCACCTACAGCTTGTCATTAGCGACCATTTTCTCACTCCGGCTGGCTCAGCTCTTACAGCGTCTTTCTCCTAGCTCTGTGATGAGCATACATCTCTCTGTCCAAAGCTTGCTCTTTTATTCCTACAGCAACAGTTAAGCAACAAGCCTTCCCCATGTTCTGCCTAAATTAATATATAGTGTATGGTTTATGCTACTGTACGATCATCCTGAATATCATCTTCTAATTTAACTTTTCAAAGCACCATTGTCATTGTATTACTCTTTTCCTGAGAGACTGCCCTGGCTCCCCGTGGTTTTTCTGTCTTGGAAAAATAAACTTCTCTGGATCTTGGACTTGATTGTAACATGGTACAGTATCAGCCTGGTAGGCCAAAGTGTCTGGAGCATTGCCCGGCAAGGTGTAAAATGCGCAACAAAAACAGATGTTTGTGCCTCATATTTTGGCAGTGTTTACTGTCTACACCCTTCCCACAAAGACCTCAGCCTCCTCAAGAACGTTTCCTCGCTTCCCCAGTCCTCTCTGTCTGCCCGGCACCAGTACATGCTCAGCGAGGCTTGTGCAAGGATACTGAAAAATGGTGTTACAGGCAAGTAGGAGGTAAGGGGCCTCGAAGCAGGTTGCCTTCCGTGTGTTGGACTTGTCATAGCACCTGCAGTCACTGGGTGGGAACCTGCTGTTTTGCTGCACCTTTAAATTGTTTCCTAGGCTCCAGGAGTTCTTGACCCTGCTCAGGGCACTTCTCAGATACGTTCATAGACTTGTCACCCTGCGACGGGGACTTAGGGGCCCTGTAACTCTCTTCCACTAGACAGAACTAGAAAAATGCACATGGGAGATTAGACACAGCCAGGGAAACTTCGTCACATGGCGTTCGGGACTCTTAAGATATGACTTTTCCCTATCTCTATGATTCTATATCATTTATATCCACACTTCTCCCTCCCCAGCATAGCACACAGCTACACACACACACACACACACACACACACACACACACGTATAGCTAGCTACCCTATCCTCTAACCATGTCTGTTGCATTCGTCATAGTCTCCCATGCTTGGCGGCCCTTTTAGAAGACTTTTTCTCCCTTTTCTGATTACCTCCAAGTCACCTTTGGGACTCATTGTGAGGCCAGTCAGAGAAACCTTGTCCTGCCCTCCAGAGCTGACCCAGAAATCTCTGTCACTTGCCCATCGCAGGTGGATCCACCCAAAGCACCCACCACACTGTTCAGTAACTGCTCATTTACTTACTTACTCCGTTGATGACAAACTCACTGGGGCCATATTCTGCGCACTGCGGTATCATCACATTTTATTGGAGCTCAAAAGTTTTTGAGTGAATGAGTGAATTTCCCCTGAAATGAGTTCCTGTTATAGAAGTAATACAATGGAGTTAAGAATATAAACTTCAGCATGCTGGGTCCCAGCTCTGCCTCTCACTAGCCAAGTGACCTCCTTATCTACTGCACAGATATCTGGGAGGAAGGATGGCTTGAAATCCTGTTCTCTTGGCTGTACACTCACCTAGGCACCATCAAGGGACTGTGCTGTGCTGTCCAGTTCAGCCTCTACCAAGAGAGGGGCCGAGATCACCCATCTCTGAGAACATCCGCGGCTTGCACAGGACTGCTCACTAGCTACTCCTCCTTTCAAGTTTCTATGAAATGATGGAAATGACTCCCTCTGTGTTCTTCACTTGGCCCTTAATAAGAATGAGGCTTAAACTCTGTGATGTCAGGAATAGTGAAAGACAAAGAAATAAGAATCTATTTACATACTAGCCATACCTGTGCTAGAACTCTCACTCAAAACTATTTTTCTTTCTTTCTTTTCTTTAGTGACTTTAGATCTTCCCTATTTGAATCCTCTTCTTGATTTGGAATTTAATTTTCATAAAATTTTTTTTGTTTGGTGTTTTGAGACAGGATCTCACTATGCAGTGCAGGCTGGCATTGAATTTACCAAGTAGTCCAAGCTGGCCTTTAACCCATGTGATCCTCCTGCCTCAGCCTCCCAAGTGCTGGAATTATAGATATGTGCCACCTTATATGACTCATAAAATATTAAATGATCTGAAACAGATAGTGTCCCAGAGTTGTTACTTTTCTTTTTTTTTAAATTTTTTTCAGCTTTAATTGAGTTTATTGGTACATTTTAGGGATACAGTACAGTTACATTCATTGTTGGGATCTTGTACCTCTACATGACAAATCTTGATTCTCATTTTTTCCCCTTACCCCTGCACTCCCTTCACCCCCTCCTCTCCTCCCCATCTACAAACACTTCATTTGCATCTTTTCATTATCTCACATTTTTTTCTTTCCCCTTGTTACCCTTCCCCTACCCACCTCACCTTCCCTACACCTTTAGTTACTTTTCTAATAGTAGTGATATGCAACTTTTTGAGGATGGTATGATCAATGGATTAGGTGGACTATTCACATTCTGGATAAGACACATCTGAACTCCCCCCTTGCCATTCCATTGGTTGACAAATCTGGTGCCAGAATGTGTTAAACTGGGACCCAGTAAGTGAGCTTAGTTGTCGATTCTAGGTCCATTGTGT